ACGATCCAAACTAACCATCTGCTCCTTGGATGCTTAGTTTGCGGGGGGCTGTTAGTGCATCCATGCCATGTCAGCATTCTTGGACCACCTGCTACCGGATACACTCCATATTATTTGTTCTGTTCAGGCAGCTACAGCAGCTCTGCATATACTCCCTTTTCTAACAAACTATTCAGCTTTACATTTATATATATATGTTACCACTGTTATTAAATGAGCTTATGAAATCAATACAACAGTTCATCTTCTCCAATATCTGTTCCTTCTTCATTGTTCTTCTCTCTGTTTTATTAATGTTTTGCAGGTTTTAGCAGCTTTGACAAGAAAGCTTGCTCTATAAATAAATAAGTCTGTCATCAAAAGATCCAGCTTGCCCATCAAAATATGTAAATTTTGCTATAAAAAAATTATTCTTGATATGTTTTAGAAAATTCACAGCAGTGGAAATTGAACTTTTGTATCATAGCTTTTCACGAAGAACTACCACACAGAAATAGCAAAAAAAAGAAAGGCATCAGACCACACATTTCATACGAAGAACCTGAAAAGAAACAAAATGATGCGGCCTGACCGATTGTATTTTTGTAAATGTGAGGAGAATGCTGAAGATGCAATAGGTAGATGATTAATCTAACGATGATGTTCAAATAATGGTTGTTAAACGATGGTGGATGGGAAATGGCGGTCAATTAAGTGATGGCAATCAAACAATGATAATTAGGCGACAGTGCTCAACAACCGAATAATGTGTTAGCTTTGTGGGGAATTTGATTGTGATGATCAATGGGCGTATTATTGCTTCAGAATTCAATTCAGTTTGCTGAGTTTGCTGAGGGGTTGCAAGGGGTCTTCCCTCTGGTTGGGTTCGGATGCTTTGCACCTAAATTTTTTTTTCCTGTATAACCATACAACGCTACGACATTGTGTATCCAAGCACCCCGACCCTGCATAGTTTGCTTGGAAAAAGACAGAGAGCAGATCACTGTGGTGCTGAACCTCGGCGCTGTCAGGAAGACTCAATATAAAGAGTTTAGAGCCTCAGCACTCCAAACAGGTGATGTGAGATTAACTGATAGTTTTCTTTCTTGTTTTTCATTAAGAGCTACGTCACTTGGTGGTTTTGTACATTTTCTTTGTTTGTTCATAAAGAACGGTGCAAGAGAGAATAGAGACAATGAGAGAGCAATAGCGAAATGAGATCTATACTATTTATCCTAAATTTTCTTAGTGAATTTCTTGGTTTGGTATGACTCGGTGATGTTTTTCTGGTTTCGGGATTTTCCACATTAAATCCCGGTGCTATTTTTTTTTCATTTCATTTTCTATTTCTTGTTTGTTTCGTTGGGTGTTTCACTTCTCCGACATAGTGGCTGTCAAGTCATTGTCTAATGACCATAGTCGGGTAATGACATTCATATAACAGTGGTCGACAGTCGGATGATGGTCATGTAGCAACAATCAAGTGATAGTAGTTGGAAGATGAGATTCGAATAATGGTAGTTAGAAGACAACAAAGATGACAGTCGAGTTACAGAAGAATGATTGAGAGAAGATAGTCAGATAATGAAAATTAGGTGATTGTGGTTGGAGGTTGGATGACAGCAGTCAAGCGGCATTCAAATTATAGTAGTTGGGAGAGCAATATACTATAATTTTGATGAAATAGATTATAAATGATTTTGATTTTAATTCTAAAAGTTTCCAATATAAACATTACATCAAGATAAGTAAATTTTATTAAGGCATATCACCTTAATTATTTTAACATATTAATATGAAAATAAGTTTCAAAATTTTATTTAAGTTTAAAGTTTTGATAAACCACATAAAATTGAATTAAATTAAAAATATATTGAACATAATATAGTTTTAACTTTCTAATTGAAAATAAACGACTTGATCATGAATTTATCACGTATAAAATCTCTTCTCAACTAGCATTTTTTTCCAAACTTATTAAGAATACCTGCTAGATAACCTGTAATCAGTCTACATGTAATAAACCTGTAGTAGAGTCTGTTCTATCTCAGGCTATATATACTTATACTATGTATCTGTTCACGGTAGAGAATAGAATTACTGTTTCTAAAACTCCTTTCGTCATGGTATCAGAGCCTGGGGCGATTTTCTGTTTCTTGAAAAACGCCTCTCGTCCTCATCTTGTCCGGCTGCTCCTCTAATAGATCTATCGGAGCTCCGACCTAAAATGGAGGATTCTTCCACCTCTCTCACAACGGCGCCCCAAGAATCTGTTGCAGGCGAATACAACATCCCAGCGGCTCTCAAATTCGTCATATCCAATATCAAAATCATTGTATCTACGCAGCTTACAGCTGAAAATTACTCGGTATGGCGTTCTCAAATCCTCAAACTTCTAACGGCTAATGGTTTCTCCGATTTTCTTCTTCCATCGGCATCTCCACCGGCTAGGTATATTGACCTACCAGAGGGTCATCAAGAAACGAATCCAAAATACCGTGAATGGATACTCGTTGATCAGAACCTAGCTGCTGCAATTTGCTCGACAATATCGTCAACCATTCTACCCTATGTCATCAACCTGGAATCTACCGCATTAATTTGGGGAACCATTGAACGACGCCTTCAGTCGTCGAACAGATCGAGGGTGATTCAACTACGGAATGAATTACACAATGTGAAGATGGCAAATCAAACAATGGTTCAATATCTTACCCAAATCAAGACTATAGCAGACAACTTATCAGCTGCCGGAATGATTCTTGATCAAGAAGATATAGTTCTGTACATGTTAAACGGGCTTCCACCAACGTACAATGCGTTCAAAACGTCCATACGCACGATGTTACAGCCTATAGATCTTGATAATTTCTACTCACTTTTAATAAGTGAGGAAATTAATATTCAGGCGGACTCACTTCGAACAACATCTCTGCAAGATTCTTCCACAGCCTTGTATACATCCCGTGGTCGTGGACGCAGAGGAAGAGGAAGAAATTCATCCCAACCATCAAGATCGAACAACGGCCAGCCTGTGCAATGCCAAATATGCAATAAACGCGGATACACCGCAAATAATTGCTGGCACAGATCAAATATGACGGTTAATCCTCCGGAATCACAGCCTCCAGCATCTCGCGCAATGCTCGCTGCGACAGAAAACGAGAATCAGGACTAGTATCTGGATTCAGGCGCATCTGCACACTTGACTCACTCGATTGACAACGTCTCTCAAGCAGGGTCGTATACTGGTAATGATAGCATCACCATAGGTGATGGCAGGAACATACCGATTGCTCATTCAGGCAATGGTATTCTGCCTACACCTAACAGTAAGTTAAAACTTCAATCATTGTTTCATGTTCCAAATTTATCACATAATTTGCTATCAATATTTCATTTAACCAAAGACAACAATGTCTCGGTTTACTTTGATTCTAACGGTTTTCGTATTAAGGATTTGACGACAAATCAAACCATTCTGGAGGGACCAAGTCTACGAGGCTTATATCCGATTAGATCAAGCAACTCTCACAAAGACCAGATAGCTCTCACTGCTTCTACTGATCGGGCCTTTCTCTGGCATCAGAGAATGGGTCATCCCAATAGACAAATAATGCATTTAGTTTCGAATTCTAATAAATTGCTGCATATACCAAAGATTTTTTCTTTGTGTAAAACTTGTACTGCCTCCAAAGGCCATAGACTTGCGTTTAATCATCATTCGACTAGATCTTTTGTTCCTTTACAAGTTATTCATATGGATGTTTGGGGACCGTCACCAGTCCCCTCTCATCAAGGCTTTCTTTATTACGTAGTTTTCATCGATGATTTTTCTAAATTTACTTGGGTATTTCCTATGCACAATAAGTCAGATGTCTTTTCTATTTTTGTTCAATTCAAAACGTTTGTTGAAAAACAAACGAATCATTATATAAAATGTTTACGCTCAGATGGTGGGAAAGAATTCTTGAACTCTAGTTTTCGCAACTACCTTACATCACAGGGAATACAACAACAAACCTCCTGTCCATACACGCCGGAACAAAACGGATCCGCCGAACGTAAACATAGACACTTAATTGAGACAACCAGAACTCTTTTACATGCTGCCTCGATGCCACATTCTTTTTCGCCTGATGCGGTGCTTACTGCCTCATATCTTATAAACAGGTTGCCGTCCATCACAAACAAACTCAGCTCACCGTTACAATTGTTATACCACAAACAACCTGAATACAATCTACTCAGAGTGTTCGGCTGTGCGTGCTATCCTTGGATTCCACCTGCGCAACGAAACAAGCTGCAACCTCGCTCTCGGTCTTGTGTATTTTTGGGTTATTCATCAGTATCTAAAGGATATAAATGCATGGATATTATTAGTAATAAAATATTTACTTCTCGACATGTAATATTTGATGAAACTACCTTTCCATTTCAGCTCATAGAAACTTCTACTACATCCTCAACGCAGCAGGTCTCACAGCCGTCACTTCTCGTCCCGATTCAAAGCACTAGATCAATGCACAACATCAAACCTACTACTCAAAATCACAGACAAAGGCGTAAGGCATCTCCACAAATTGTCTCTAAAAGTTCCAACAAACCCATCAATGATGTTCCAAGCAACGTCCATATTGAGAGCACATCCACCACCCTGCCTTCCGAAACCAGACATATCCCACCTCATCATCCCATGACTACTCGATTGAAAACAGGTAAACTCAAACCGGTTCAAAAACTGAACTTACTTCACCTGCAGACAAATACAGAACCTAAGAAACTGGGTGAACCAAACACATATCAAGAAGCTAGCAAACACAGTCATTGGAGGAAGGCGATGGCCGATGAATTCTACGCTCTACAGAAACAAGGGACATGGGATCTTGTACCACCACCGTCAAATACGTCCATACTCGGCAGTCGATGGACATTTCGCACAAAGTACAAATCTGATGGAACGGTAGCACGATTCAAAGCACGACTCGTAGCCCAAGGAAATACACAACAATATGGCGTAAATTACTTGGAGACGTTCAGTCCCGTAGCTAAGTTTCCTACGATTCGTACTTTTCTTACTATAGCTATCACTAACAACTGGCCGGTACACCAGCTTGATATTACGAATGCTTTTTTACACGGTAATCTAAATGAAACTATCTTTATGAAACAGCCGAAAGGATTTGAGGACAACGATCATCCACACTATGTGTGTAAACTCAAGAAATCCATATATGGATTAAAGCAATCTCCGAGACAGTGGTTCCAAACACTATCCACTCATTTACAATCCATCGGGTTTGTGGCAGGCAAAGCAGACACTTCTCTTTTCATCAGGCGGAAAGACGACGTGCAATTATACATGGTGATCTATGTCGACGATATACTACTCACAGGAAATAGTCCCGAAATGATTACCAACACACTCGACAAACTCAAAAGCAAATTCGATATGAAACATTTGGGATTTGCAAACAGTTTTCTCGGCATTCAGATAACCCGGACCAAAAACTCTTTCTTTTTGTCTCAAACTAAATATGCACAACAAATTCTTAACACTGCAGGAATGACCAAATGCAAGCACCTTGCAAATCCTTCTCAGACCAAACAACCAGACGTGTTGTCATCAACTGCTCTTGAATCCGATCCAAAGTTATACAGACATTTAGTGGGAGCATTGCAATATCTCACTTTAACTAGACCGGACATATCCTTTGCCGTTAACTCTCTGTGTCAACAAATGCATCATCCAATGCCTCCAAATTTTAATTCTCTGCATCGTCTATTAAGATATATTAGTGGCACTCTAACATATGGTCTACCAATTTCGCAGGGATCTACAATTCTCCAATCTTTTTTCGATGCAGATTGGGCTGGTGATAAGGACACAAGACGGTCCACATCTGGCTATTGTACATTCCTAGGGAACACTCTTATCTCCTGGAGTGTCAAGAAACAACACACAGTAGCACGATCTTCTATCGAAGCTGAATACCGTGCACTTGCCGCTGCATTGACCGACATCATATGGTTACGAAGATTGCTGCTCGACTTCAACATCTCCATCACGTCGCCGACAACACTGCACTGTGACAGCACATCGGCCATAGCATTGGCCAATAACCCGGTCTTCCATTCAAGAACAAAGCACATTGAGATTGACCATCATTTCATCCGGGATCACATAGACATGAAAACGGTCAACATATTTCCCATCTCAACAAAAGATCAAGTAGCCGACATCTTCACCAAACACTTATCTATGCCTCGCTATCAATTTCTTTGAGACAAGCTCACGGTTCAATCCGACCCATTAGCTTGAGGGGGTGTATTAAGAATACCTGCTAGATAACCTGTAATCAGTCTACATGTAATAAACCTGTAGTAGAGTCTGTTCTATCTCAGGCTATATATACTTATGCTATGTATCTGCTCACGGTAGAGAATAGAATTACTGTTTCTAAAACTCCTTTCGTCAAACTAAATGAATCTGACTATTCAAATAAAAAAAGATTAATTTAAACAGACCGAATCAAGCCTACATAACATATTTATATTATTTTTAACTTTAAACATAAATAATAATAATAATAATAATAATAATAATAATAATAATAATAATAATCAATTCGGTGCCAAACTATTATCAGTTTGTTGTAGCCATATCGAGCAATGAACACCTTTATATGATAAAGACTTGTTTAAATAAACATATTTATGCTCTTATAAGCCATTGTCATAAAGCTTTGTTAATGAATTTTTTAATAATTTGTGGCCCAGAAATAATACCATATGCATATATGAACAAAAACGCAAGCTTAAGAAATATGAAAAACGTGCGCATTTGTACTTACCTCGTCTTTTACTTTTTCTTCTCCACATGCACCAACCCACACCAGCAAGCAGAAAAACTCCCACAACAATGCTCGGCACGATCACAGCCGTCAGTTCACTCGTATGATTATGTTCATCAGATGCTGGCCCTGCGTTACTATTGCAAGTTATAGCAACACGGTGTTAACGCATTCAAATTCAACACAAATACTTTTATAATGCCGACAATTGATATTAATGCCTTTTGAATGCTTTTTTCATTCTTCCCTAGCTTGGGAAAATATTTATGAACGGTTGAACATTGAGAGCAATTGTATTTGATTTTTAAGTTTACTTTTCTTAATTACCTGATTATTATAAGTAATGCTTTAATTACCTTATTATTAATCAGTAAATTGTATATATTATCATGTTATATATTAAGTTTGCTAACGGGATTGATTAAGATTAATGCAGAAGAAAAGTTACAATTTCCAGGCAGATTTGCACGTTAGGATGCAGTCAGTTTGGCCTGATGTATCAATGGTAGCCTCACTTGCATGTTTAAAATAATTTAAAGATAAAAAAGAGTATTTTGCTACTGTATTTTACGTTCAAAGCTTATGGAGAATGTTTTTCATGATAAGTTAGGCTTTGTTTGGGGCATTTTAAGTTATTCTGTCTTTGTTTTTAAAAGCTCATTTCACAGCAACAATTTCATTAATATTATTTTTCCAAAAATAACCTTTTAAAAACAGAAATTTGACAAATATTCATTATCTTTTAATGATTATTTCTTTTACTAAGGAAATCAATAGAAAAGTTGTACTAAATGAAATCTTAATCAAATTGATTTTTAAATTTTTATTTTAAAATTACAATATCAACTCCCCACCTATGTACACTAAGAAGTTAAAAATAAAAAACATAAAACATATTGATTATGATGTTGATATTTATAATATGATATCTACATTCATTCATACATTGAATATAAGCTGAATAATCCTGGTGAGTGCAATCAAAATATATAATTTATAAAACAAAATTGTATGCTATTCAAATTTTAACTCTTGATTTTAGTTTTTAGACAAAGTGCTTACCCAAATCAGCAGCCGCGACTCGAACATAGACATCCTGCCCGCCGATAGTATAGAGCCGCATGTCAACAAGGTCTGCAACCCACATCAAACACCCACTCCCGCTGTTGAGATTCGCCAACGCATAAGCCGTGCAGGAGCAATTCATCAAACACCTTGTCTTACACCCGTCCAGCCCTAAACTAAAATCAACAACCGCCTGCGCCGTGTCCGGCACCTTTGCCCCGCTCACCCTCACGAACCCATCCGTCCCATTCCTGCAATCCAACATCGTCTTCCTCCGGCATCCATCCTTTCCCTCCATCAGCGCCCAATTCGTCGGGTTCCTCGGCGTGAATCCCTGCACGCATTCGCAAACCGGCGACAAGTTTGCGTCGCAAACCCCGTACGGTCCACAAGCTGCATAGTTGTCGCACTGGTACCATGGCACTTGCCAGTAAAAGTTCCATCGCTCGGTATCCCATAGCCAGATAGCGCGTTGGAAGTGTCCCGACTCGTTTAAGAGCAGCCTGGTCACGATCGATTTTGGAGTGTTGAAGGAATAGGAGACTTCGTTTTTCGTGTTGATGAAGCTGAAGCTGAAGCTGATATTAAACTGAATGTATGTGGTGGTCTCCGGTACGCCGGAGAATTGGATGCCGTCCCATGGGCCGCTGCGCCAGATCTTCTTCAAGCCAGACCAAAAGAACAACTGCGGGTCGCCGTTGGTATCCATGGCGGCGATGTAGCTGCTTGAGCTGGGATCGGTATCGGATTTCCAGGCCGAAATCGTTCGGTTGATGTGGGTGTTGAAATTTACTCCTATTTTCATTCCAGGAATAAGGGTATCGGTCGGGTGGTCGAAACTCTGCCAATCGAAGTCGTTGTTGTCGCCGCTGGCGACATTACGGACGACGAAGTTTCCGTTGTCGAGCAGCTGCGCGAGAGGGGTAGCGAGAGAGGAGGTGGTGATGGAGGACCAGACGGGTAAGTTGGATTTCCGATCTGTGATTATGAGGTTGCCGTTGCGTGAGATGGAGAGAATTGCGTCGGTGGAGTTGCCAGAAACAGGGGAATCGCGGTTGGCGACCCATACGATGGTTTGGGTTTTGATGTTGTTGTACCAGATGCCAAGGTAGGAATTGGAGGTTCCGGCGGGGGTGAAGAAGCCGAGGGCGAAGAGCTTGGCTGATGAGACTAGGGTTTGGTCGCCGGAGAGAGGGATGGTGGGGGTAATGGTGTCGCCGGCGGTGGAAGATGGAAGGAAGGCGAGGAGTAATGATGCGAGGAGGAAGAATTGGCAGCCGATGCTTTTCATTATGTTCTGAGGGGAGTTGGTGATCGACGCGCACGACAGTGTTGACGACACTCAGTTGAAAACAAAGGAATTCTTCACGTGTGCGTGTGTCAATATATAGGCCAAGTTACGTCTCTCGATTTATTTATAGATGGAAGCTTTCTAATAAACAATATAAATAAATTGAGCTAGCAAAGTCACACGCAGGAGGCAAAATTGGCGGCGGTCCTCAGTTTTTTTTTTTTTAAATCCGGGTCTTAAAGCCCATATATTAATAACCGAAAAAATAAATTACATATAACCTGTGGAAAGAAAGAAAACAAAACTAACCAAAATACACAAAGACTATAACAAAGGTCAAAATTGGACAAATAACAATACATAAGACTCAGAATTAAGGCACAGTCTCATTCATCATGATATCTCTGTTAGCAAAACGAACCAGGCGGTGGCACCGGTTGCCCAAAAACCCAAAGTAGCTAGATTAAAATTTCCAGCAAAAGCGGCCATCACAGCACCTCCAGCCTGCAAGCGAATGTCCACAAAAATGAGCCAGGTTGCCACACAGGCCCTCCAAGGCTCGGAGAGATTGGCCTTGCTCATCATCGTCTGTAAGCCAATCATCCACCACCAATGCCAGCTAAAGTCTTTGTAGTATACCCAGGAAATTTGAGAGAAGAAATCCACAAGCAAACTGGAATGAGTCCTGCATTCCCAAAAAACTGCTTCCCAGGTCTAAAAAAAACAGAATCGCAAAACTTGGGTCAAAACAAGAAACCTAACAGTAAAAAGAGACCCAACATACGCACAGTAACCTTCCAGAACAACCTTGAGGCAAAGCAGCATCCTCTAGCAAAACCATATAAGTAAGCATTTAACTAAATGCTCGAAAATCTCTGAAATAAAATTGATTTGTGTTTCTATTTTGCAGTTTTCAATCTAACAGCTGCTGAAATGTTATATATAATTTTAACCACATTATTCCTAAGATTAGAGAAGCGCCGGTTATTTTGTTCCCTCCAAATGTGATAGGTAATGCAACTAATGGCTAAGTAACAAAACTCTTTTTCATTTCTATTAAAAAACACAGTTTTCGATTGTGATTTCACCTTTTATATATTCCGTCCTCAGTTCTGAAAGTTGAAAAATACAAACGTAGTTCTTATGAGGCCGGCTCTACCGTAATACAACAATGTGCAATGTGAGTAATTCAAAGTTGAACTATTTCAGGGTTACTGCACGTTAAGGCACAAGAACAACATACCCATATTATGCATTCTTTATTCCTTTCGTATGAATTATGTTATTATAGTACTACTATTACTTTTTATTTGTTGCATTACTTATAGTAAATGCATGATATCAGATATTAAGAAAAATAGGAAAATACATAGGGAGAGCAATTGTGTAGAAGAAGCAGTTTTACAGATATCAATAGAATACTCTGTTCTGCGGAGAACGCCGGTTCCTGTTATAATTTTCTTTTGAGGTTTTCTGTTGTAGGTTCCTTGACTGGAATCACATATATGGGCTGCATTAGGTTGGTATCAGAACATCATTGGCAGGATGACAGATGATGGATGAGAGACAAAGATAAGGAACTGGTCATCAATGAAGTTTGGCGCCTTGAAAAGCTATGGGCAAACCAGACCAACATCATACGACAACTTGAGGAATTGTTGATCGATGTGCAGCGTCTTTCGATTGAAACGCGCAGGGAGTTCAATTCCAACGGTGCAAGGACTACACCCCATCAGCCTTGTCGAGATCATGCACCGGCCATTGTTCCGGGTATTCGGAGTGGGATGGGCCTTGACCATCAGCAGCGTCGAAGCCACCAACCCACTCAAGAAGTATCTGATTCAGATGAAGATTTTCAATGACGTGCAATATAGTCTTAATAGATTCCGAGGATGATGACGAAGTTATTGATCATAATGTTGGCAACCATAGACAGCGATGACATCCAGTTCAACACAGAGGTCAAGCCGAATTTAAAGTTAAGATGGTTATTCCTTTTTTTGATGGGCCTTTGTACATTGATGATTACTTGGATTGGGAATTGGCTGTTGAAATTTTTTTTATTATATGGACATTGAACCCACAAAACAATTTAAGTATGTAGCATGCCGTTTAAAGAGTGGCGTGTGGTGGACTCAACTATTTCTGATGCAGCAACATGAAGGAAAGGGCGCTAGTGCATAGTTGGGTGCGGATGAAACAACTCATGCGTGCTCATTTCCCCCCATAGATTATAAACAAATTATGTATATGCGATACCAACACTGCATTCAAGTTAATCGCTCTGTAAATGACTATACAGAAGAATTTCATCAGCTAAGTGCAAGGAATAATCTAGACGAGTTAATGAATCAATTGGTAGCTAGATATATCGTAGGAATCAAAGACAATATTCAAGACAAATTAGAATTGAATTCGGTGTGGTCTCTTTCCCAAACGATCAATTTCGCTTTGAAAGCTGAAATGCAACAAAATCGGCCTCCACGTTCTCCATATCCTCGACGACATCCACCAGACATCACACAGAATCATACCAAAGGGGGCTCCACTCCAACAATATCTGCTACTAACGTCTCATCTCCCTCACAGATAGCCTAACCTTCTAAGAAGTTGCACCTGGAAAGGATAACAAATTCCAGTTCATACCGATAGATATTGATTAAATGCATATGACCTCTTTGCTATGCTTTAAATTCAATTGTAAGTTTTGATGACTTATTATACTTTTTAGCTCATTATATATTGTTAAATGATTTCATGTTACAATAAAGGATCATGTGTGTGAGATTGACCCAAATTTATATGGTTCTATTTCTTTTTTTGCATTTATTATTCTTTTGTACTCAGGACAAAGTAGTTGTGATACGATTGTATAGATCATGAGTATTATATATAATTTTTAAAAAATGAATACATATGTATATATATATATATGTTATGAATAAGAGAATTGTTTTTGTTGTTTATTTCTCATAAATGAAATTAGATAGCATTGGTTGTTGTTCATTGAAAGATTAAAAGAATAGTTCTTCAAATTTAGATTAGGGGGCATCATAATTGATATCAGAGCTAGTTGTTGAAATAATTGATTATTATAAGAGTTATAGGAATTGATTGAGAGTTGGGTACAATGGATAGTTTATGGTGCATTGCTTTGTATACATAATTGATTGCATGCATGTATTATTTAGATCATACTGAACTGTGCATGTAATCAATCAAAATGGATCCGCTAGAGTCAAATATACCTAATGAGCAATACAGTGAAGCTCTAGTGGGCTATTATTATAATACAGGCAATGGGGGATGCATAATATTAGGGGTGCAAACGAGTCGAGTCGAGTCGAGTTTAGGCTCGTATCGAGCTTAACTCGTTAGTTGGAAAGCGAGATCAAACTCGAGCTCGAGCTCGAGCTCGACAGGCGAGCTCAAACTCGAGCTCGACAGGCGAGCTCATACTCGAGCTCATCTCTCTGTAAACGAACTTTAGCTGGCTAGCCGGCTCGCAAGTCATGGGCGAGAATTTTTAAATTTAGGCAGATTTTTAAAATTTAAGCCAAATTTTCAAACTTAGTCAAAATTTAGAAAAAAAAATGAAATGTTTAACATTTAAAACTTATGTGGTTTTTATTAATTTTTTAATATTTAAATTTAATAAATAAAATAAAATTATTTTAAAAAATATTAATATTTAATCGAGTCTGCTTGCGAGCTCACAAGCCGAGCCGGTTCAAGTTCGAACTCGAGCTCGTTTACTAAACGAGCTCGAACTCGAGCTCGAGCTTAACTCGTGAGCTCGATAAGCTCGGCTCGCGAGCCCATAAATGAGTCGAGCTCGGCCCGGCTCGGCTCACTTTTACACCACTAGTTGGAAGTAGGTGTTGACCCCTACAACAAGCCCGGGAATCTTAAATTTGATAAAGAAGGATCCAATTTAAATATGGATTTCATTGGACTTTGTTATATATTGGTCGAGGAAACAAATCAAATGACGGACACCAAGCTCCTATTAATGGGGCTAATAGGTATAGAAACATTTCTTTCCTATCTATAGTGGGCCATGGTGGTATGGGAAAGACAACTCTCCTGCAACATGTTTATGAAGATAAAATGGCAGAGGAATTCGATCTTAAAATATGGTTTTGTATTTTCAACAACTATGATGTGAAAAAGTCATTGCAGATATTTTGGAATCTCTCAAGAAGGAGAGGCCTCGTTTGGAGACAGTTGAGGCATTTCAAGATAGTCTTCGGACTGAGATAATGTCCAAAAGTTCTTACTTGTGCTAGACGACATTTGGAAGGATGATGAGAAGCAGGATAAATAGTAGAATTTAGGTAACAACTCGAACGAACTCAGTTGCACTGATATTTGCAAAGATAATTAAAAGGAATGAGAAAATAATTAAATTAGTGGCCCAAGAAGAGGATGAGTGTTTGCTGCTCCTCAACTCTCACACATTTGTTGGTGTAAAGAACCACTCCCTTGATGATCATAAAAGAATATATATTTAATTAAAAGCCATTGTTGGAGAAATAGTTAAAAATCTTTTAAGATCTCCATTGGCAACTAAAGTCGTCTGTGGTATTTTGGAGGAAAACTTGGATGAAAGGTATTGGAGTGAAGTTGTAGAAAGCAATTTATTGGGTCAGAATCCTATCAATGTCATCTTAAGATTGAAATTTTGACGAATCATCTATAAGTTTGTTTTGCATTTTTGTTGCATGTTCCCACAAGATCATACATTTGATAAAGATGATTTAGTCTGAATGTGGATGGCATTGGGATTCATTCGGACGTCTCAATGAATGACTATGGAGCATATGAATGTTTTATTTGCCAAATAAGAATCAAACTCCTTCAAACTGTGAAGGATGCCGAGGAGACTTGGAGGGCCAAATTATGTGCCAAGAGGCGAAATTTCATTAATTTAGGAAAAATTCTGATTTCGCTAAGTTCGCAATATGGATGGACGATATGTCAATCGGATCTCCAATCTAGAAAAGAGCGAAATGGCAGATTGCGGCGATTTGGGTCAACCCTGGTTGACCTGGTCGACCAGGTTGATCCAGGACTTGGGTCTAGGCTCAACAGACTCAGTCTGACCCACTGAATTGATTGGGAGAGCTCTTGGGTCTTGGCTTGATCAATTTGATCAAGTCAACCTTCCAGACCCAAGAACCTTGACAAAATCAAGGTCAACACTCCTCTCTAAATTTTATCCGAGAGGGAGGAGAGAGAGAGAGCTGCTTGAAACTCGCATGCCACTGCTTGCAACTCTAGAGATAGAAAATGTGAGATTACACAAAAGATCATCTTTTTTCCTTTTAACAACTTTTAATCCTCATGCTTGAAAATCAAATTGATTGAGCACCTGTATTTGTTTCAAATAGGAGATCTCAGATCTCAAATTAACTATGAGAACCTTATGTACTAACTGCTTGGTTGGGGGTTTAGGAGAAGCTAGATTCTCATTTTGAGTGAAGTAATTTTAGAGTTTCACTATAAAAATTCTTCAAAGTAATATTTATAGAGTGGATGTAGGGCCAACATACAATACTTTGACATTCTTTACTGTTGCTATTTTGTTTAGTTATTTAACATATTGAAATGCTCTGCAATGATTTCAAACATATGATGAACTACGCTTGAAACATGAGAAACTTTCGAATGATTTGAAAAATATTATTTTTTATAAAATTGCTTGGAGATTTAAGAAGTATTTTAAATACTTAAATTTTTTTCTTTAATATAAATATCTTGTTTTTATTTCTTTCAATTAAAGCAATTGACTTCAATTAAAGAATGTGGTGTAAAAAGATTAAAGTATATTTGAATATTTTAGAGTTGTTTGGACTTATTTGGTTGAGTGTAAAGCAAATACATATTTTAATTTTTTTTAGCTTAGTAAAATGCATGCAACATAAATTGAATACAACGACGACTGACGGTGGCAGGTGGTGGCTGGTGAGGGCTGGCGGTGGAGGCAGGTGGTGGGCAGCAGTGGCAGGGGAAGTTGACGGCACCGGAGGTGGCAATGATGGTGATTTTCTAGTGTATTTGAAAATCATCAAAATATGAGGAATTCCAAATAACTGAATTTGAACTAGATGATGAATTTCTTTTACTTTAAAATTTTACTCCACATTCCTTTTAGTTCAAACCAAACATCAATATTTTCAAAATCCCTGCATTTGAAATACATTACACTACTAATGCAGCAAACCAAACAACTCCTAAGTGAAAAATTATTGATCTTTATAAACCCATAATTGCCAGCTGAAGAACATAGCTGTTTACCTACTCTAAATAGCGAACAGATGACCAATAAAAAAAAATTAAGAATACAATGGGAAAGCATATTCTGTACCTATGATCAGCTCTAACTGTTTTTGAATCCTCAAATCACCAGAAAAAAAATCAATCCTCCAAAACTAGTTGGTTATCTTCCTTCAATAATTGAAACTGATATGTCATAATTTATAGTAGTTGATTCTTGTTTGCCTGATGATGAATCAGAATCTACTGGAAATCTCGAAAAAAATCCAGGTTGTTTAGGCTCAGGCAATCCCAATCCACTGTCCCCAGCAAGCATCAGAACTATCCAAGACATTAATGGCCGATCCTCTGGGCGTTCTTGAACACATAACAAGCCAATTTTTATGCACTTTAAGACTTCATCAACTGGAAAATCAGAGTTCATTGTTTCATCAGCTAGTTTCAGGCTATTTCCCTCCTTCCATAAACTCCATACCTGCATCATGCAACAAAAATCTAAAGTTAATATATCAAAAACTAAATAAAGATGATTAATGATCAAATTAATCAGTAATTAGAACTTACATGACCAAGAAGGTTCATGTGAGGGGAAGCGCTGTAAACCCCTCTATTCCTCTTTCCACTAATGATTTCCAGCACCAAGACGCCAAAACTAAATACATCTGACTTTACAGAGAAGACGCCATCCATTGCATACTCGGGTGACATGTATCCACTGACATTTTACATTTCATAAAGTTTAGAATTGTATAAATATGAGCTTGTACAAGTTTATGTGTTGAAATGTAATGAAACCAAGCATTTGTATAGTTAAATACTTACTATGTACCCACAACCTTTATGGTATTGACTTGGGTTTCATCTCCCCCAAAAATCCTTGCCATGCCGAAGTCTGAGATTTTAGGGTTCATCTCTTCATCAAGGAGAATGTTGCTTGCTTTGAGATCGCGGTGAATTATTCTAAGTCTTGAATCTTGATGAAGATAAAGAAGCCCGCGAGAAATACCAAATATGATCTCGTAGCGTGTTTGCCAATTTAATAGCACAGACTTCGCTTTATCTGTGAGATTTTCATTTTTGTTTAGTTGTTTTTTCTTTCAATCATAATACAGATAAGAAAAATGTATATTGAAAATATAATCACCATCATCATCTTCATCTAGCATATGAAAAAGTAAAATGGAAGGATTCTTTTTTTGGGTAAATCAATCAAGCAGATGAGAAAAATTCAAGTTTCCAGTAGCAATTAATAATGAATTACTAAAGCTAATTAAGTGCATGAAGCACAAAAGTTATGCAAGTTTTTAAATTCAGTAATATAATTACTTACAGCTAATTTCAAGATATAATCATTGAGTGAATTTTTAAGTACTGTACTATCTTGTACAGGAAGTTTAATTATACTAAATGCAACGGGTCCCAGTCTTTTTTTTTTTTTAATTCGCCCAATTGGCTTGACTATCGATTTGATTAATATAGCTATTTTGAAGTAAGCAGTCAAATGAATGATGATATCCTAATTTAAGCACAGTATCTTTAAAATTTTAATTTTTAAATATTTTTTAAAAATAATTACATGCAACGTTATATTAGAATCTAGCATAATTTTAGTAACTAAGAAAAATAAGCCGAATAGAAATTAAAAAAAAAAATACAATAAACAAAAAATGACCCATATTTTATGGAACGAGAGGAGAAGTTATTAGAAGCAAATGATGGATATAACTACAATATTATGAGTATCATAGTATAAAGCTATGTACTCATTGTGTACATCAGTTTTTTGAAGGACATGTCACATACTTTATTTCTTTTGAGGCACATAATCATGTGCTCAATAAACAAGTGTGTGGTCTAGACCCGGCGTCCGGAGATCAATTACAACGTGCCGCGTTACTTTTTTTGTTCGATACCGCTGCTTGGTACTGTTGTGTACCGGGTGATGTGGCTCATTCTAGTTGGTCTCCAGACCGTCCGGTGCCCACACAAAATAATTTCTCGTGGTTTAGACGTGGAGCTATGTTTTTTTGTTTGCATCTAATAATTTCTTCAATGCGAGAGCATAGCAAAAAAGTGATAAATGGTGACATTCTAATTAAGTAGAAGAGAGCAAATCATACCAAATAAGAAGGCATCTAAGCTCTTGTTAGGCAAGTACTCGTACACTAACATTCTTTCACGGCCCTGAACACAGCAACCCAGCAATCGGACAAGATTTCTATGTTGTAGTTTGGCAATTAGCATAACCTCTGTCTTGAACTCATCAAGACCTTGGACTGAAGTCTTGGCAAGCCTCTTCACTGCTATCTCTTGGCCATCATCAAGCCTGCCCTGCAAAACTCAATTAATACACCTTATCAATTAACCACATCGTAAACTTAATTAAGAAATTTGCTAATCATCTGACATGATACATTGTTGGGTGATTAACGAAACAATAAGAAAGGAAAAGGTTAAACAAATAAAAATCTTAATGTAGATGCTTAATAAGCATTTAATTACTAAATATGTTAAATTACTCACCTTATAGACAGGACCAAAACCACCCTCCCCAAGCTTATTTTCTGCTGAAAAGTTGTTGATCGCAGCAGTTATTACTTCCAGAGGAAAGATAGGCAATTCAAAGTCATTGTCTATTCGTTCTTGTTCTGCACTGCGTTTATCATGAAAGGAGCTCGTGCCTAGCATTCCTATTGAAAAAGAAGGGGCCATTTTATTTTATTGAACATATCGACCTCCATTCAAAAGTACAAATTAAAGAAGAAGTTGCAAAAAATATAATTCCTCTTAAAAATTTTCTCATATAAATTATTCCGAAATTTTCTCCAAAAATTATATAGGAATCTCATTCCAAAGTCAAAATTTTATACTTTTAGTATAAGTCTGCTATGAATTGAAAATTGTTTTGACATGAAATGTTGCTCTGTAAATAAATAAGTCTGTCATCAAAAGAGCCTTGCTCTTCAAAATATGTAAATTTTGATATAAAAAAATCTTGATATGTTTTAGAAATTCGCAGTGATGAAAATTAAATTTTTGTATATTAGCTTTTCACAAAGATCTACCACACATAGAAATAAGAAAAAAAAAAAGCGTTAGACCACAAATTTTATACGAAGAACCTGAAAAGAAAAAAAAATGATGAGGTCTTGCCGATTGAATTTTTGTAAATGTGAGGGAGAATGCTGAAGATGCAATAGCTAGATGATATTAATCTGACAATGATGATCAACCAATGGCCGTTAAATGATGGTGGATAGAGATGGTGGTCAAATAAGGACAATTAAGTGATGGCAGTCAAACAACAATAATTAGGCAACAGTGCTCGACAATCGAATAATGTGTTAGCTTTGTGTGAAATTTGATTGTGGTGATCAATCGGGTGATACTATTGTTTCGGACCTAAGTTTAGTTTGTTGAGTTTGCTGAGGGGTTGCAAGGGATCTTTCCTATGCTTGGGTTCGGGTGCTTTGCAACTAAATTTTTTTTCCATATAACCATACAACATTACGACATTGTGTATCCGATCGCCCCAGCCCTGTATAGTTTGCTTGGAGAAAGACAAAGAACTGAGCATGTGGCATTGAACCTCGGTGCTGTCAAGCAGACTAGAGATAAAGAGTTGAGCGCCTCGGCACTCCAAACTAGTGCTGCGAGACTGACTGACAGTTTTCTTTCTTGTTTTTTTCATTAAGGGTTGCGTCACTTTGTGGTTTTGTATGTTTTCTCTTTGTTTGTTCATAAAGAACGGTGCAGAGAATAAAGACAATGAGAGATGAAGAGCGGAATGATATCCATACTATTTCTCCCAATTTTTTATAGTGAATTTCTTGATTTGGTGTGGCTAAGTGCTTTTTTCCTGATTTCGGGATTTTCCACATTAAATCCATGTGCTATTTTTTGTTGCTTTATCTATTTCTTATTTTTTTCCGCTGCGTGTTTTCTTCCCCAACATAATGGCTGTCAAGTGACGGTCTAATGATAGTAGTTGGGTAATGGCAGCCGTATAACAGTGGTCGACAGTAAGATGATGGTCATGTAGCAACAGTCAAATTAATGACAACAGTTGGAAGATGAGATTCGAATAATGGTAGTTAGGCGACAACAATGATGACAGTCGAGTTACAGATGAATGACAGTAGTTGGGATATGGTAGTCACATGATGAAAGTTAGGTGAAAATGGTCAAAGATTGGATGACGGCAGTCGAGCGACCGTCAAATGATAGTAGTTGGGATATAGCAATATACTATAAGTTTGCCAAAATCGATTACAAATGATTTTGATTTTAATTCTAAAAGTTCCCAATATAAACATTATTACAATATTAAGATAAGTAAATTTTCTTAAGGCATGTCACCTCAATTATTTTAACATATAAATATGAAAATAAGATTCAAAATTTTATTTAAGTTTAAAGTTTTGATAAACCATATAAAATTGAATTAAATTAAAAATATATTGCACATAACATAGTTTTAACTTTCTAATTGAAAATAAACGGCTTGATCATGAATTTATCACGTATAAAATATCTTCTCAACTGGCATTTTTTGCCAAACTAAATGAATCTGACTATTCAAATAAAAAAGATTAATTTAAACAGACCAAATCAAGCCTATATAATATATTTATATTATTTTTAACTTTAAACATAAATAATAATAATAATGATAATCAATTCGGTGCCAAACTATTATCAGTTTGTAGCCGTACCTAGCAATGAACACCTTTATATGAAAAAGACTTGTTTCAATAAGCATATTTATGCTCTTATAAGCCATTGTCATAAAGCTTTGTTAATGAATTTTTTAATAATTTCTGGCCCAGAAATATTACCATATGCACATATGAACAAAAACGAAAGCCTAAGAAATATGAAAAACGTGCGCATTTGTACTTACGTCGCCTTTTACTTTTTCTTCTCCACATGCACCAACCCACACCAGCAAGCAGAAAAACTCCCACAACAATGCACGGCACGATCACAGCCGTCAGTTCACTCGTATGATTATGTTCATCTGATGCTGGCCCTGCGTTACTATTGCAAGTTATAGCAACACGGTGTTAACACATTCAAATTCAACACAAATACTTTTATAATGCCGACAATTGATATTAATGCCTTTTGAATACTTTTTTGATTCTTCCCTAACTTGGGAAAATATTTATGAACGGTTGAACATTGAGAGCAATTGCATTTGATTTTTAAGTTTAATTTTCTTAATTACCTTATTATTATAAGTAATGCTTTAATTACCTTATTATTAATCAATAAATTGTATATAATCATATTATATATTAAGTTTGCTAATGGGATTGATTAAGGCTTTGTTTGGGACTGCTTTCTTAAAATTTTTTACTAAAATAATGCTTTAAGAAGTAATAAAAGAATCGTCCAAAATGAAACCTAAGATTAATGCAGAAGAAAAGTTACAATTTGTAGGCAGATTTGCATGTTAGGATTCAGTCAGTTTGGCCTGATGTATCAATGGTAGCCTCACTTGCATGTTTAAAATAATTTAAAAGATAAAAAAGAGTATTTGCTACTGTATTTTACGTTCAAAGCTTATGGAGAATGTTTTTCATTGATAAGTTAGGCTTTGTTTGGGGCATTTTAAGTTTTAAAAGTTCATTTCACAGCAAAAATTTCATAAATATTATTTTTTGTCAAAAATAACCTTTTAAAAACAGAAATTTGACAAAAATGCATTATCTTTTAATAATTATTTCTCTTACTAAGAAAAACAATAGAAAAGTTGTACTAAATGAAACCTTAATCAAATTGATTTTTAAAATTTTATTTTAAAAATACAATATCAACTCACCACCTATGTACATTAAGATGTTAAAAAAAAAACATATTGATTATGATGTTGATATTTCTAATATGAAATCTACATACGTGCATGCATTGAATATAAGTTGAATAATCCTGGTGATTGCAATTAAAATATATAATTTATAAAAAAAATTGTAAGCTATTCAAAATTTAACTCTTGATTTTAGTTTTTAGACCGAGTGCTTACCCAAATCAGCAGCCGCGACACGCACATAGACATCCTGCCCGCCGATAGTGTAGAGCCGCATGTCAACAAGGTCTGCAACCCACATCAAACACCCACTCCCGCTGTTGAGATTCGCCAACGCATAAGCCGTGCAGGAGCAATTCATCAAACACCTTGTCTTACACCCGTCCAGCCCTAAACTAAAATCAACAACAGCCTGCGCCGTGTCCGGCACCTTTGCCCCGCTCACCCTCACGAACCCATCCGTCCCATTCTTGCAATCCAACGTCGTCTTCCTCCGGCATCCATCCTTTCCCTCCATCAGCGCCCAATTCGTCGGGTTCCTCGGCATGAATCCCTGCACGCATTCGCAAACCGGCGACATGTTTGGGTCGCAAACCCCGTACGGTCCACAGGCTGCGTAGTTGTCGCACTGGTCCCCTGGCGCTTGCCAGAAAAAGTTCCAGCGCTCGGTATCCCATAGCCAGATAGCGCGTTGGACGTGTCCCGACTGGTTTAAGAGCAGCCTGGTCACGATCGATGAGTTTTGAGTGTTGAAGGAATAGGAGACTTCGTTTTTCGTGTTGATGAAGCTGAAGCTGAGATTAAACTGAATGTATGTGGTGGTCTCCGGTACACCGGAGAAATGGAGGCCGTCCCATGGGCCGCTGCGCCAGATCTTCCTCAAACCAGACCAAAAGTACAACTGCGGGTCGCCGTTGGTATCCATGGCGGCGATGTAGCTGCTTGAGCTGGGATCGGTATCAGATTTCCAGGCCGACACCGTTCGATTGATGTGAGTGTCGAAATTTACTCCTATCTTCATTCCAGGAATAAGGGTATCGGTCGGGTGGTCGAAACTCTGCCAAGCGAAGTCGTTGTCGCCGCTGTTGACATTACGGACGACGAAGTTTCCATTGTCGAGCAGCTGCGCGAGAGGGGTAGCGAGAGAGGAGGTGGTTTGGGAGGACCAGACGGGTAAGTTGGTGCTGCGATCTGTGATGATGAGGGCACCGTTGCGTGAGATGGAGAGAATTCCGTCGGTGGAGTTGCCAGCGACAGGGGAATCGCGGTTGGCGACCCATACGATGGTTTGGGTTTTGATGTTGTTGTACCAGATGCCAAGGTAGGAATTGGCGGTTCCAGCGGGGGTGAAGAAGCCGAGGGCGAAGAACTTGGCTGATGAGATGAGGGTTTGGCCGCCGGAGAGAGGGGTGGTGGGGGTAATGGTGTCGCGGGCGGTGGAAGATGGAAGTAAGGCGAGGAGTAATGAGGCGAGGAGGAAGGAGGTGCAGCCGATGTTTTTCATTATCGTCTGAACTGCTCGATTGATGTTCGCATGTGCGGTAATGGAGGTTTTACTTCCTTTATGTTCCGAGTGGAGTTGGTGATCGACGCGCACGACAAGGTTGACGACTCTCAGTTGAAAACAAAGGAATTCGTCATGTATGTGTGTGTGTCTATATATACGCCAAGTTACGTCTCTCGACCCATTTCTAGATGGAAGCTTGCTAATAAACAATATAAATAAATTGAGCTACCAAATTATAGCCAAAATTTGATTTAGTTATTTTAATGAAGGATTAGAAGGTTTACCGTCTTGGATTGAGACGCAGGAGGCAAAATTGGCGGCGGTCCTCGTTTATGGAAGTTGAAAATACAAACGTAGCTCTTATGAGGCTGGCTCCACCGTAATATGACTATGTGCAATGTGAGTAAGGGCATCTCCAACCAACCTCCAAGCGCTTGAATGATGTCCCTGGCCAGCTCCAGCGGAATCATAAATTTCCCGCTATTTGGCTGCGGGTAAACAGTGGAACGCCATATTATATGGCGTTGCACTGTTGATCTCCGCCACTTTTACCTCTCTACCGAACTTGCCGCGGGAAAAAAGAGACGATCGTTACCTGCAAAAGTGTGAAAAGTGGAGTTCAATTGGAGATGAATATCAGCATTTTATAGTTTCACGACATTTTGGAGTGAAAAATGAGATTTTCCGTTGGAGATGCTCTAATTCAAAGTTGAACTATTTCAGGGTTACTGCAAGTTAAGGCACCAGAACAACATAAAGATAATTTTGCAATCTACTTCTTCCGTATTAATTATGTTATTGTAGTAGTACTATTGCTTTTTATTTGTTGCATTACTTATAGCAAATGCAAGATATCATATATAAAGAAAAATAGGAAAATACATAGGGACAGCATTTATGTAGAAGAAGCAGTTTTATAGATGGATCAATAGAATACTCTGTTATGGGGAGAACGCCGGCTCATGTTATAATTTTCTTTTGAGTTTCTCTGTTTCTGGTTCCTTAGCTAGAATCACCTGCTTCAATCTTGATCCGTGGGCTGCATCAGGTTGATATCAGAGCATCATTGACCGGATGACAGACAAAGATAATGAATTGACCATCGACGAAGTTTGGAGACTTGAAATGTTGTGGGCAAACCAAGCCAACATCATACGACAACTTGAGGAATTGCCGATCGATGTACAACACCTTATCATTGAAATGTACCGAGAGTTCAATCTCAACTGTGCAATGACTACACCCCATCAGCCTCATCAAGATCAAGCACCGATCCGTGTTCTAGTATTCGGAGTGGGATGGGCCTTGACCATCTGTGGCGTCGAAACCACCAACCAACTCAGGAAGTATCTAATACGGAGGAAGATTTTTAAATGCCGCGCAATATAGCCTTAATAGAATCCGAGGATGATGATAAGTTACTGAGCATAATGTGCTGGCAACCATAGACACCGATGACATCCAGTTCATCATAAAGGTCAAGCCAAATTTAAAGTTAAGGTGGATATTACTTTTTTTTTTTTATGAGCATTTGCACATTGAGGATCACTTGGATTGGGAGAAGGCTGTTGAATTTTTTTTTAATATTATTATATGGACATTGAACCCATAAAACAAGTTAAGTATGTAGCAGTCGTTTAAAAAGTGGCGCTAGCATGTGGTGGACTCAACTATTACAGATGCGACAACGGGAAGGAAAGGGCATAGTGCGCAGCAAGGCGCGGATGAAGCAACTCCTGCGTGCTCATTTTCTCTCCACATATTATGAACAAATTTTGTATATGAGATACCAACACTGTGTTCAAGGTAATCACTCTGTAAATGACTATACGGAATAATTTCACCGGCTCTGTGCAAGGAACAATATAAACGAGTCGATAAATCAATTGGTAGCTAGATATATTGGAGGACTCAAAGATAATATTCAGGATAAAGTAGAATTGAATTTAGTGTGGTCTCTTTCCCAAACGATCAATTTCGCTTTGCAAGCTGAAATGCAACAAAATCAGCTTCCATGTTTTCCATATCCTCGACGACATCCGCCAGACATCTCATAGGATCATACCAAAGGGGCTCCACTCCATCAAAATTGGTTGATAACGTCCCATCTCCCTCACAGACAACCAGGGGCGGAACCCCATGGGTGTCAGGCGGGGCAATTGCCCCTCAAAATTTTTTTAAAAATTTGTTTATATGATTTTTTTAGATAATTTACCCATTCTCATTCAATTTTTAGTCTTTATTAAAAGGATTTTTAGGCAATTGTCCCAACCAACGCCCCTCCCCCCCCCCGAAAATTAGGGCTGGTTCCGCCCCTGCAAACAACCCAACCTTATAAACAAGTTGCACCTAGAAATAAAAATAATAACAAATTCCAATCCCAAATGATTGATTAAATGCATTTTGCTCATTTGATATACTTTGAATTCAGTTGTAGGTTTTGATGGCTTGTTAGACTTTTTAGGTCATTATATATGATTAAATGATTTCAGGTCAAGGTAGATGATCATATGTGTGAGATTGACCTGGATTTTGCAGGTTCAATTTTTTTTCATTAATTGTTCTTTTGTACTCATGACAGAATAATTGTGGTGCGATTGCATAGACCCTGAGTAGTATATATGATTTTTAAAAAATGAATACAGATGTATATATAGATGTTTTGAATTAGAGAATTAATTTTGTTGTTTATATCTCATAAATGAAATAAGATAGTATTGATTTTTTTTTATTAAAAGATTAAAAGAGTAGTTCTTCAAATGTATATTATGAGGCATCACAATTAGTATTAGAGCATAGTTGTTGAAAGAATTGATTATTATTAGTGTCATAGGAATTGATTGAGAGGGGTATAATGGGTAGTTTAGGGTGTATTTCTTTATATACCTAATTGATTGCATGCATGTATTATTTATATCATATTGAATTGTGCAGGTAAACAATCAAAATGGATTCGCGAGTATACCTAATGAGTAATACAATGCAGCTCCAGTGCCATCAGATAGTGTGATGCCGTTGGCTATTATTATAACATATGCAATATAAGATGCACAGAGTAAGTTAGTTGGAAGCAAAGAAGAAGAGAGATAAGCATTTGCAAACATTCTATAAGTTGAAGCCTCTATTGTTCAATGGAGTTGTAGGACCTCAAGCTGCAGAAGACTAATTACTAAGGATAAAAAAGATATTTGACAACATGTAGTGTTTGGAGAGATGAAAGGTGTGAAACCCTTTAAACTTTAAAGTTTTTTTTTTTTTTTTTGGGTTAACTTAGAGAAGTTCGTCTAGTACGAACTGAGTTCGTTTGGGACGAACAATTTAAATTTTAATTTTGTATGTACGAATAGTCCGGATGAATTGAATGAGAACAGAACAGAGGCGTTCGTCCCTGTACAAAATTAAATAACGTATGTATGATCTTCGTCCGAGGACAAAACAGAGAAGTTCGTCCTGGTGTGAACATAAATATCGTCCCTTACAATAAAAAATATCTAATCCCATTATTTAATTCGCCATTTGCTCGGTTTATAGAGAGAGAGAGAGAAGGAGAGTGAGAGAAAGAGAAAGAGAGAGAAGAGAATATCCGTATTTGGGCGTCTTTGGGCCGTTATCGTCCGTCGACGCAGTTGGGAGAGTTGTTCGACTCGAGGTAAGACATATTATGCCTATCTCAATTTTCAAAAATATGAAAGTTTTGATGAATATCCCGATCAAAATTTTGTATCTATTAGCTAAAAATGGCGATAACTTTGCACCAGTAAAACTTTCACTGCGTAAGTTTTTTATGTCATAGAGATTATGATTATGCACATTTTGAATATTTTTTAAAAATATTTTACCGGGTATTCTGAATCTAAGGGGTTTTTAATGAATATAAAAATTTTGAAATATTGAAAAATAGTACAATAAAAGTCTTAAAACATTATTCTACACAATCTATGCTAATCTGGTAATTTTCTAAAATTATGCATTTTTATCTCGTTGGATTTTTTGTTGCCTATTGTTATATAATATGATGATATTTTGATACATGCCAATTACTCTGTAATTATTATAATGTGATGATATATGTGCACATGTGATTAAATGATATTTGTTGGGAGTTACAAGGGGCCAAAATCCTTTGAGATTCTGTCTGGGTTCGAAAAATGTGATATGATCAACTCTCTGTGTTTGATATGTTCTAGTGTTGTAAGCACAAATAAAAAGTGAGTCATAAGGGATCAGAATCCTTTGAGATTCTATCTGGATCCGAAAAATGTGATTCGAACAACTCTGTGTCATGAATTTCCATTTACTCATTTATTATGTACTGTTATCTGATTCATCTGTTCTGCACTGTTATCTGATTCATCTGTTCTGTACTGTTATCTGATTCATCTATTATGTACTATTATCTGATTCATATGTTCTGTACGGTTATCTGAATCATATAATATTTTCTATGTATTTATTACATTTTTCTATTTTGTGATTCTCAATTCAGTGAATTATTTAAAGTGCAATTAACTGCTTTTAAATCTTTAGTTAAATATTTGAAATAAAAGAATATTTAGAAATTTAGATTGGCTCATGTGACTTGTTGAGCTGTTATAGCTCACTGTGATTTTACTCATAATTTTCAGGATCTGGTAAAGAAAAAGAGGCTGTGGACTAGCTGTTCAGGATCATATCTGAGGTTTTAAGTATTTTACTATTTTGATTTTTGTACAGTCATGACTAGTTTACTTTTCAGTTCTGTAACTCTTGTGTGTAGCCATGTACTCTAGTGTATATAATTATTTCGATGAATGAAAGAAACTTTATGGATAAGTTTTTCAAAATTTGGATATTTTAGTAGCTCTGTGGTTCATCATTATTTCAATGAATATCGATAGAAAATATGAAATAATTCCAAAACTAGATCTTGGGGTTTGACTGTAACTGCTCAACACGATAGGACCTGTCCTGGTCGGGTTGGGTTATGACAAAAGGTACCATTAGCTGTGTTCCTCTTTGAAGGACAGTCTAAGAGATAGTGGTTCGGCATCAAAGATATAAATTTTAAGGGAAGATAAATGCTGATATCACTTGAGACTAGTTTACTATAATATTCAGGATGTGGTTTGTATCTCTTTTAGCTTAACGATAGATTGAGGAAGCTTTTAATAAGTTGGAGAAGGGATGCAAGATAGTGATGCAGT